TTCTTCCACACATGTGGTTGCTGGCGCCGGTGTCAAGGTACCATGTATAGTCTTGGTCTCCATCCTTATTCTTGCATGCTAGTAGCACAACGCCATTCTCTTCTATCTCTTCTTTCACATAATTGACCTTTTCATCAAGTCTGCTATTTAAGGCTCTACATTCCTAAGCATAATGCCCGAACTTTTGACAATTATAGCATTGAACTTGAGATTTTTCATACCTCGAATTTGAGCATCCTCTTCCACGACCTTTTGTTGAACTTTTTCCTCTTTCGTAGTTGCTATAGTTGTTGAAGTTCCAACCACTCCACGTCTATGTCCACATCCGCGACCTTGACCACGACTTCTTTCGTACTGGCTTCTCTCGTTGTCAAAGCTTTCTTCTTTCTTCTTTGGCTGGACATGTGTCTTTGAGGAGCTACTCATCATTCCCTTGCCTCTTCTTATGCTTCTCTTCATATGCTTGTAGTGAACCCATTAATTGCTCTATACTAATTTCTTCCAAGTTTTTAGTTTCTTCAATCGTCACAACAATGTGCTCGAACTTAGGGTCCAACGAGTGTAGTATCTTTTCCATAATTCTAACATCTTCTAACTTTTCTCCATTTCTTTTTAATTGATTGGAGACAGCTAAGACTCTTGAGAAATAATCAGAGATTGATTCAGACCCTTTCATTTGTAAAGATTCGAACTCACCTCTTAATACTTGAAGAGAACCTTTTTCACTTGTTCGGCTCCCTTGTAAGAGGTTTGAAGCTTCTCCCATGCTTTCTTGGCAGAGGTTGTACTCGAGACCTTCTCAAGGCCATTTTCATCTAATGCTTGGTAGATGAGGTAAAGAGCCTTCTTGTCTCTCTTTCTTGAATCTTTCAAACTCTCCTTCTGTGGTTGAGACAGAGTAGCTTCATCCTCTGGCTCAGTGTAGCCTTTCTCCACGACTTCCTAAACATCATGTGCTCCCAAAAGGGCCTTCATTTTGATACTCCAATTATCGAAGTTGTTGTTATCGAGCACTAGAACTTGGAAGGCTACCATAGCGTTGCTAGCCATAGCTCTGGTACCACTTTGTTGGGGTTTAAAAATGCTTCACTACTTTGGAGATGTTTATCTCACAAAGGAGAATGTAATGCAGCGGAACTTGATAGGCAAGAGAAAGAAAGAATACTCAAAGTATTACACAAAATTTTTATTCACTCACAAACCTAGTACAAGAGGAAACACTCAAACACTCTTAGAAGCTTTGTTGCTTCTTCTTACTTCTTACTACTTGCTCTCTTGGTTGTTACAAATGGTGTGGATGCCTTCTCCTTTTATAGGCATGGATGGAACCTTGGAGAAGCATGGTAGCATCATGCTAGAGATATCTAGATAATTCCACTACCTTCCTAAACTAAAATTATCTACACTAATCTTGTATGTTGGTGGAATCCTCACCATTCTTCTAAACTTCCACCAACTTGAACTTTACTAGAATTCTCTAGCATGTGCATGGATCTTTCTTTGTGTATGGGCCAAATCAATTATCTTTGGGCCAAGACAAGATTACAATTCAACAATATCTGATTTCCTTGGAAGCCCGATCGCCTTTGCTGACTAAATCTCTGTCGTCAGCACAATCGTCGTCGGCGTAAGCCAATCTAGGCTATTTATTTAGAGGCTTGTCTACATCTTTGTCGTAGAGCGTCAACTACTTCTTCAAGTCCCTTGTATATGACAGAAAAGCAAAGTGGTACGACTAAAAGGGGAGAAATAAAAATTAAAAATAAATAAAAATAAAAATAAAAAAAACCTGTACGTGCACAATTTTTTGCTGCAATTAAAGGATTGACAGAACAATTGGAAAAATCACAAAAAGAGAGAATGAAAGGTACATGTTAGAAGTGGGGTTAGACTCCTCCGTTGAAAAGTTTAAAAAAAAAAAAAAATATATATATATATATATATATATCAGAAATACATCTGATTTTAAGATCATACACCAACAAAGGAAAATAAGGTGAGAGATTTGATTTTCTTGTTATGCAATTTGTTAATTTGTTGGGAAAATTGACTGATGAAGGTAGAAGAGCCTTTTGGAGTTGTAGAAAACAACTCACCAAAACAACATCTCTTACAATGAAGCAAAAGCAAAAATGGAGTTTTTGTAGTAGAGGCAGAGGATTACGGTGCCGAACTTCCGATGGGTGAATATTGGGGGTGGATGGAGAAGCAAATCTGAAAAGGTTGAATTTGAACATTCCAATCTCCTTTTCAGAACATGGGTCGTACATGGAGACAGCAATTTCCATCGTCAAATCCTTGCAACTGCTATTTTCCTCATCCAATCCTTTTTTTTTTTTTTAATATATCATGTTTGGGATCACTAATCTAAGGGGCCAAATTCATTGATGAAATTTATGATGAATCTGCGAGGGTGGGTGTGATTCATCCAACCAATAGTAACATTCGTTGCTGAGTATGCGTAAACAGTATCACTCAGGCAACCATTTCCCATCAGTCATTTTTATTATTTTACCCCTATTACAAGCGGTTAGTTTTGAGTTATCTCTCTTATTAAATGAGGACATTTTTGGCATTTTTGAATGCTTCACCAAACTGAGGCTCTCACTTTATATATATATATATATATATATAGAAGATTACCAAGTTTGTCGCCAACATAGAATTGTTTTCCTTGTGCCCAAGTTTAGTAATCAAAATTAATGGTCCAACCTTTGTCTTCGCCAACAACAAAATTTGTGGCCAAAATACAAGGGGCAACAATAGCTAGAGTGGCAAGGATAATGAATAGGTGGGAAGAGGGCATTGCAACTAATATTGAGGGAGCTAACTTTGTTTCTATGAAGTTGCTTGTTTTGAAAAGATGAGCTCAATCAATTTGGTTGCAGAAATGAGTCGAAATGGTCTCATTTTATAGTAGGGTTGTAAGAACTAGGGCTGGGCACGGGCCGGGCCGTGCCTAATTTTGAAGGAACCAAACCTTACCCGTTTTAAACAGTAACGGGACGGGCCAGACAGGGTAGAGGGTTTTTAAGTTTGGGAACCGACCCTAACCCGACCCGTTTCAAACGGACCAGTTTGAGGCAAGTCCACGGGTCCAATTAACTTTTTTTTTTTCTTTTCTGGTTTTGATACAAAGCTCCAAAACGTTCCACAATTCCAAATTGCTCCCATTGCCAACGAAATCGACGAGTTGAAAGCTACCCACACCAGCAGCTGAACCACCGATGGTGAATCGGTGAAGCTGGTGGTCCCATCTCTCTTGCTCATCTCTCCCAATCCCAAATCAAGGTCTCTGTCTCTCGACTCTGATTGACGACTATGGCGCGAGGCTCCAATCTGACTCAAATCGAAAATGGCAGTCTTCTGTATGTACTCCATGAACTGAACCCTGTTGGTGGACACGCCGCTAGCTGCGATGAGCTTTTGGGTGTCAAGCACCATGATTTTGTATGTTTTGCAAGACGGCAAAGCCATCGCCTACCAAACCGAAGATGAATTCCATATCCTTCTGATAAAAGGCATAAAGTCTTAATTTTTAATTATTTTTTCCACTAAGATGAAACCTTTTGTCAAAAAATGTGCACAATCCAGATCGGTTTTTTTAATAGGTATTTCAAAATCTGATTAATCTCCTAGGTTTTTTTGAATTTTGATGCTTCATCCAGATCGGTTCTGTAGAAATCTCAAAGCAATCGGCGCAATGAATTCGAGGGTGGGAGGGAGAAGAGAATGAGGAATAGGTGGTGCCATCGAGGGAGCTGAGCCGTCGTGGTGGTGGAGGAGATGACTCAAGTAGGAGTCTGGTTTAAGTCCAGGAAGGAAAGGGATGATGGGATGGAATGGATAATGGATTAGGTTTCGAGAATTATTAAATGGGTTATAGTTAGAAACGGGCCGTCCGGGGACCCGTTATTCCAAATCCTAGGACTCGACCTGCCCTTTAAATACTATGGACCCGTCCTGCCCCTCCCCATTTCTATTCTCAAAAAATTGGAACCGACCCATACCTGCCCCGAACCTTGATTACCCACCCTAACCCGCGGTTCCTGTACCCGTTTGCCAACCCCTAGAAAGAACAAGAAGAGAGAGTCTAAGCATGGGGTCTGGCTAGGGAAGGCAATGCCGCTGCCAAACGGCATAAAAGACTAGAGAGTTAAAAATACAAGATAAATAGAAAGTGTAATATCGAACGTAGGAGTGGGGGTTTTTTATATTTTACACACACACACACATAAAGAAATTAAGAGTGGAAGTTGGGTTAAGCCATAAAATAAGCAAACAATAATTTAATATCAAACTTGTATTTTATGGAGTACAAACCTAAAATCTCCAACTTACTAATAACGAGACTTAATGCCACTAAACCGTCTTGTAGTGGCTGTGCTTACAGGGTCCTATAAGTACATACTGGCAAAAGAAGACTTAAAAACTGGACCCTTTTGGGTCTCACTCTCATATAATTGGGCTACCAACCTCACCATTAAGCCTTAAGTTACATTGTCCAAACGTATATTACAAATTTCCAAACCCAAAATATAGATTCGAATTTTAGATTTGAACCCATGTTACACTCCAAATCTATGGAGCTCTTAAGCCCACCAAATACTTCAAAGCTCTCTCTTTGCATGCCATAGTTATTGGTCTCAATCTCATCAAAAAATTATATGCCGTTTAGCCAACTTAACTAGAACAGTATGCTCTCTGCAATCAAATTCAAATTTTTCTTCCCTTAATTTAAAAAAAAAAATATTATGTAAATATCCTATTTGTCAACAAAAATCTCATTACGAAATTAAAATCTTAAGCCACAAAACCGTCGATTTTTTTCTCTCACGGGATACCCCTCCGAAAACTCACTTTTTTGTCTTAAGAAAGTATTGGCTCCCATTTCATTACCAACAACCCACCACCTGCTTAACCCACGTACCTCAAAAGTTTCCCCCTTTTACATAGTACACAAGAAACAAGCTTGCAACACATGATGATCATATATAAAGCACTTCTGAGGGTTAACAAACCCAAGAAATAAATCTAGTTTCATCATAGCTTAGCTTTATTGTTTGCTTCGGAAAAGGAAACATGGATAAAAGACCAGTTACTTGTCCGAGTTTCCGTAACTCACATTTCGTCGATATCCATGAAGTTCTGCCAGAAGAAGAGGAAGAGGAGGAGGAGGGAATTGCAAGAGAGGCCGAGAAAGCGGATAACTCATTTAGCAGAAACACTAAAATTAATAGACAGATGAAGAGAAGTGACGGGAGTTTCAATAGGCAACTTTCACTTGAAACTGGTTTTTCAGTTCTTAGAAGTGAGTCCAAGGCTAAAGATGGGAGGAAGGTTAATCTTCCGAGAAGTGGAAGAAGTTTCGGAGGTTTCGATTCGGTTACTAGGGTTGGCATGGAAGGAAGGAGAGGAGACTTCAGTATCTTCAAGACCAAGTCATCAAATCTGAGTAAGCAGAACTCTTTGTTGCCTACGAGAAAGGAAAGAGATATGGAGTTTCAGAGGACTAATGATGGCTATGGAGGAGTTGATGAATTTGCTGATGAAAGTGTTCCTGCTGGGAGATACTTTGCTGCCCTTAGAGGACCTGAGCTCGACCAAGTCAAGGTAATTAACACACTGATCAAAGCAGGTTTTGTTGTCTAATGTTGAACTAATTCTTCCAAATGAGTATTATATAAGGCAGACGACGTGTTGTCAGAATGTCAATCTAACACTATTCATTAAAATAAGTATTTATCTAATCAATGATTTAGATTGACGGTCTGGTAACTTTAACACGTCAGATTGTTTGACGAGAGAGCGTTTATCTTACGTATATCATTAGCGGGTGGGAAAAATTAGAAGTATGAAGCCGTATATGAATCCAAACTGATAGGTTACTATCTGCCCTGCAGGACTATGAGGATATACTCCTCCCAAAAGATGAGAAATGGCCCTTTCTCCTCAGGTTTCCAATTGGATGCTTTGGTATTTGTCTTGGCCTTAGTAGCCAAGTTGTCTTATGGCATGCTCTTGCCACTAGCCCAGCGACCAAGTTTCTCAACATTTCACCCTTCATAAATCTTGCACTTTGGCTATTAGCAGTGTCAGTCCTGTCCTGTGTCTCCTTCACCTACATCTTCAAATGCATTTTCTACTTTGAAGCAGTGAAAAGAGAGTTTTTCCACCCCGTTCGGGTCAACTTCTTCTTCGCCCCTTGGGTTGTCTGCATGTTCTTAGTCCTCGGACTACCACCTGCACTAGCCCCAGGCAAACTTCACCCAGCCATTTGCATCTTCATGGCACCCTATTTTCTTCTTGAGCTCAAGATCTACGGACAGTGGCTTTCGGGCGGGAAAAGAAGGCTCTGTAAGGTGGCCAATCCATCTTCTCATCTCTCAGTAGTTGGCAACTTTGTAGGGGCAATTTTAGCTGCCAAGGTTGGGTGGGATGAGGCTGCCAAGTTTTTGTGGGCAGTTGGCTTTGCACATTATCTTGTGGTTTTTGTTACTTTGTATCAGAGACTACCAACAAGTGAAGCATTGCCTAAGGAGCTCCACCCTGTGTATTCCATGTTTATTGCAGCCCCATCGGCCGCAAGCATTGCTTGGGAAACCATTTATGGGGGGTTTGACGGGTTGTCGAGGACCTGCTACTTCATTGCATTGTTTCTCTATGTTTCACTGGTTGTGAGGATCAACTTCTTCACAGGGTTTAGGTAAGCTATTCTTTGTCTGAGGCAACTCATATCCTCAATAATTCAGTATTTGACAGGGAATGATATCTGACATGTTATGTAATCAAACTAAGAATTATGAACGAAAAACTCTTTAGTTGCCACTATGTTCTGACAAACGGTTTATACTTTTGTAGATTTTCAGTGGCTTGGTGGTCGTACACCTTTCCAATGACAACTTTCTCAGTAGCCACCATCAAGTACGCAGAACAAGTACCATCAGTTCCAAGCAAGGGACTTGCAGTCACTCTTTCTCTCCTGTCGTCTGCAATGGTGTCCGTATTGTTTGTCTCCACTCTTCTGCATGCCTTCGTTTGGCAAACGTTGTTTCCAAACGATCTTGCCATTGCCATAACAAAGACAAGACTTGGCAAGGAGAAGAAACCCTTCAAAAGAGCCTATGATATAAAGCGTTGGACAAAGCAGGCCCTAACCAAGAACAATCTGGTAACCAAGGATACAGGTGGAGCTAAAGAAGAGGACTAACAGTCTCCACTGCACAGAGAGAGAGAGAGAGAGAGAGAGAGTTAAACGTTGCAAGGAGTCAAGAACATATCCGTATTTAAACTAGAGATTATGTATAACATCTGTAACAGTATTTAAACATATGATGCACATTACTGCAGATTGTGTACAATTACATGTGTTGGTGCCACCGAAAATTAACATTGTAAGAGGTGGCTTTAACAGCTATACAATACCGGCCCTTCGACATATTTATTGGATTTCAAATTTTCAACTGAAACCTACAAATTGTGGAACTGAAAAGAAAAAAGAGCTGGGTTTTACATATATTTGAAAGAACACCAGCCACGAAAGGGCTTGGTAATCTTTTTGAAGAGTTGTATAACCATCAATGCTAGACATTTCTCCGACCTTTCGTTTTGATAGCAGATATTCAAATCTGATTCCCATGTAGATGCCACCTTTAATGTCAACGAACGCCCAACCTACTGTAGCAATTTCAGGGACAAGATAAGTGAAAAAGAAAACATATAGAAACTAAAATAGCGCCTATTATCCATCGCTCAGTTAGTGTACCTCATCCTCAATTTCTTATCAACATCGGTCGTGCACCTGTCTTGAGCCTGCTTTCCACTAAACAGAGAAGGTTTTTCTTTTATCTACAAGAGGACGTGCGAAATTACATGGATATCATATGAGAGAAGAAATGGGAAAAAGAAAGATCAAGCACTCAAAGAAAATCAAAGATAAATGAATGATCAAGACTATCTATAGCCACTCCTATACAGTACCTTACCTTATGTTCTTGTTGGAAAACAGTCGATCTATTTTCTTTTGAGTCCTTAAGCCAAAGAAAAAAAAAACAAATAACTCAATAGAATACTAGGGAAAGTGAAATCAAATCAATAATATATGTGATGTGAGTGATAAGAAAGTACAGGGGACAAGGATAACCTTCGTAAACAAAGATGTAGGCTGGGATAGTTTCACCTGTGATCCATTATTTGGCTGGCGCTCAGTGGTTAAAGAGAGCTAGGATTCAACAGGAGAACAAATGAGATTACAGGTATATGCAAACTGTAATGGTTACAAAGGAACAACAAGAGATAAGCACAAATTTGTAAAATAACTTATCATATAAACTTGTTGATACCTTACTAAAAAGTTCGGTTGGCGGAAATTGCTGTACTCTTCTGTCTGTCTGAAAATTAAATTCCTTTACATGAAATAAAAACATGGTGTTAGCTAAGTTGATTCTGCCAATTGGGAAACAAATACGATTTACGGTCACTAAGCGAGAGAATAACATCTATGAAGTACCATTGGTACAGTGGTTTCTCGCTTGCTATTCCAGAAAACACCAATATTCCCTTTGCTAGAAAATATCTGCATTTAGATAGGAAATAATTCCATAGTTGGCATCAGCTAGAATGAATTTCAACTGAATGATGTAGAGCAGGAAAATATTACCTTTTTGTTAAGAGGACGAGCTTTAAATGTTTGCATTCCTGCATTTCCATCCTGCTTAGGACATTCCACTGTATTTGGTCTAATAAAACAAGATCAAACCGAGAGTAAGAGCTATATTTCTAGTATGAATACAAAATTGGAAAATGTGAACTGAGCATTTCTATTAATCATGTTCATTTAGTTATATATGATTCTTTCTGCTATTACCTTCTGGATTCTCCTTTTCTGTTTTCCGCAACGGTAGAAATGCTAGGTTTTTCCAAACCCTACAAAATGCAGAATAATAGTTAAACGTACACGAGAAACTTTTGAGCACAACGTTTCACATGACTCAAGGGACCACTGTGAATTAAGATAACAGTGAAAACTACTTAATGAAATTCACAGCTAACCTTATCGTGATCATTGAGATGATGTGAGGATGATGAAACAGCCGATGCATTTTGCATAGCCCTTTCCATTGTCTTGAGGTGAAATTCCTAAGAAGCGAAATTAACAAAGGGACTCAGAACCACAAAACTTCAAAAGACACTTACTTTTAGAAAGCATTTATTTTTCAAATCAGTTTGAGGGTACAATTATCTTTATCCTCCAAGCCACTAACGAAAAGAGTTATAATAGGTTAAAAAGAAAAAAATTATAAATATCAAGCACTCACTTGAAATTCCGGCAACTTTGGAGTGCTCCTTGTTGGAAGTGGCAATGAAGGAGCCTCGAAAATCTGCAGTATAAATGCAAAAAAAAAAAAAATGTGGAGTAATCACAGATAAAACACTATTGAAAATCCACATCTAATAACTTGAAGTACCAACTTTTCGGTTCAATGGACGAGCTTTGAATTTTCGATGAGTTGATGTCACTTGTTCTAACATAGATCCATGGTTAGGCCTGAAATATAAACATATAATAACTACCTGCAGATTGGTAAACAAAACTATGTGACTTCTGCCCTGAAAGCCAGAACTCACCTAATCCTGTGTGCCCTATGTGCCGTTTCAAAGTCAGGCTCTCTTGGAATGGTAAGTCTCAACTTAGGGTGTGCAGTAGTTTTGTCGAAATTTTCATCCTGCAATATCACCCGTAATAAGATAGTTTTAGAAACTTAACTGATGACTCGAGCACATCTCTTATTTGAAACATTATCATATTACAATAGAACAATACTATGAGCCATCTCAGTTCCCTCATGTATTACTCCAGACACCTAAGAACAAAATCACAAGTAAAAAATCTGGGAAGCTCTCTATTACACACAGAATAACTTCTCTATATAGATACCAGTTGTTGATTAATAAACCCATCCAGAAGGTATTATTGATCTAAAGTAGAAATTTTAGACAACTTTTGAAACACTAACTTATTTGTGTTATTAGATAATTCAGATGAAATAATAGCATGGCTTTAAGTGACAGTTAACCAGATCATACAAAAACTGTTGCAATAAGTTATTGTTTCAAAAGTAAGAGCGGAGAAAATGAAGAATGCTCAATCCATAGGTACTAGTTCAAAAACCTTTTTCGGTAGGAAATTCAGTCATCAAGCAATAGCTAGAATACCTTTTTAGGTACCTTGTGGACAAAATTAGCTTGCTGCTTTGCATCAGTAACCTGTCACGGAGAAAATGAAGAATGCTCAATCCATAGGTACTAGTTCAAAAACCAATTGTAAATTTCCTTAAACAAAGAAAATGATAAATGACTTTGACTATGCTCAGAACCAATTGCAGTTTATAAAACTTCTGTACCTTACGCAAGTGCCCTCCATCTAGCTTCTGTCTCTTGGGAGCTTGACTTTCAACCCCAGAAGAACTACACAAGCTCTTCTCATTGTTTTGAACATGCAGTATTTGGAATCTAACAATTTAGATATAAAACATCATAATACAGTCAGTATGGGACTGAATGGTAGTACGGTGTCCACATTTTACACTTTCTCTGGTTACAGGACATAGAATGCAGGTATTACTGTCTCACATATAATTACTTTATTGGACATAGTAATGCCAAATTACAATATCTGGGGAATTTAAATCAGTGTGCATAAGAAACAGAAAACATAATAGTTATTTGAACTAACCATGTGAGCAACTGAGCGGTGATGATAAAGTTACATGAACATAATAGTTATTTGAACTAACCACATCTGTACTTACGCAATGCAAAAAACGTATTACACATAGACGAAAGGCAGAACATTCTGAAGTACCTGGAACCACCATTTTGAGGCTTCAGATTTTGCTTAGCGAGCTGACTTGCTGTGGGCTTCATCAAAGTTGAGCTCCTGGGGAACGATGGCTTTACAGAAGCATTACTCTGACCTTTAAGCTTATCACCGGCTAGGTGACTGTTGAATGTCAGTCCTGGAAAATAAAAACATAAATTAAAAGAGAAAAAGTTCTAAAAAAATATACATTATGCTAGACCAATTGAAATAGTTTATTATAGTTCATTAGTAATGTGTCTGTGATGACTTGTTTAAAAATCTAATTCCATCTGAAAATATTCAGATTTTAACTGCGTATAGTTTATATCCCGCTCTTAATTTATTCGGAAATCATCTGGGAAATCCATTAGCAAACACATTAATCATCAAGGTACAGAAAATGATCACCTGTACCAGCTCCATTCGGTTGATTTAGAACTTTTTGTAAATTTCCAAAGATCCCTCTATTCATTCCTTCATCTAGAACATGAAACATTGCACTTAAAGATTTAGGCTTCAAACCAAGACAAAGACGCTGAAAACAAAAGAATAATCTTTTCTAAATCCTGCTTCTCTACAAGGCAAAAATCAAGGGGATTTGATCCATACCCCTGCTGTTTACATCCATTGCACATGATTCTGTGCCCACACCGATATCAGAATTTCCGTCATTTGCATTCTCCACATCGGATTTTGGGGAGGTGTTTACGTTTTCCAGGAGGATTTCCGGTCCAAGTATTAACCTTGTCACAACAGCTGCAACAGACCAAAACATTATCAACATATAACTTCATACATTGCTCTAATTCTTAAAACCGCAGATTTTTATTCAGAATATAAAACAAGAACAATCATTTTTCACAGTAAAATTAAAAATTGAGGCGAAGTATCATAATCCTAATCTTTCAAATGCTTGAAAATCAGTCAAGCCAAAGATAACTATTCCTGAAACCAAAAAGAATCGAAAACGCAAATGTCAAGAAACGGCGTCATTGGAGGGAGAAAGGCTTACGAGACGGCGGGTAGCTCTTGGCGGACTCGAACCAGAGCTCGGCGCGGCGAGCCTCAGCCGGCGTCTCCTCCCTCGTGAAGTCAAAGTACCGAGCTGCATCGAACTCGTAGTCAACGTCCACTTCCTGTACCATAAACACTTCCTCAACCTCCATATCGTCCTCCATTTCCATCCTCTCTCTCTCTCTGTCCTCCACTTTCTCTCTCCAAAATGCACCGCCTAGCAGAGCCAAAATAGCTCTGATTTGGGATTCGGAGCTCCGAACCCGACCGGCTAAAACCCTAAATCCGGAGTTTTCAGCTCCGCGTTGTATAGCAGTCTGAGAGAGAGCAAAGGTTGGCTCTAGGCGCACTGTAGCACCGCCTCGTGTAAATACTGTGACCGAAATTTAAGCGCGAGGTACAAGCGGTCAAAAGCGCTGATGGCGCAGGGTCCAAGCGCTTCAAAGCAGGGAGGGGTTGGTTTCGCAGGAGCGTTTGGATTTTGGACAGACGCCCAGGTTTCGTTTTTGTTTTGTAGCGTCGGGGTTCGCAACGATCCGGAAATTTGAATTTATGGCTCTGGAGAATTTTATATTAATATTTATGGGATGAATTGCCGGATTTACCCCTGGGTTTTGGGGAATGGAGTTAAAATTTGAATAGAATGGTGGGGTAAGAGGGTCATTTAGTGGGTGTCCTTCGACTGAGGGGCAGTGGTATCGGTGTTCGAGCTCTGTTTCGGGTGGCGAAATCCTGTCTACGACTGTGAAATTTCGGCGGGTCTTCAGTAATACCCCTTGGGTTTGGAAGAATTGCAAGATTGGCCCTAACGGTTGGATTTGTTTGTAAAGGTCATGAAAGGGGGAAGAGATTGGGGCCCTCCTAGCTGGCCCTAGGAGGCTAGGCTAGTTCAAAAATGAGATGTTGATCCAGGGGCAATGGAGCAAACATGACAAGTTACAGTGTCTCCAAAGGAGAAGCAAAAACTTCGCAAATAACAGTAAAAGAAGGTAATAAGGGCGTTTTTCAATTGAAACGTCAATTTTTATGTTGCATGACATGAAATGGTAGTAGGGGTGGTTCGGTATGGGATCCCATACCAAAACCCTTGTCCCGATTCCTAAACCGAAATTTTCGGGAATCCCAAATTCAATACCAATCCCAAATCAAATTTTCGGGAATCCCGAAATAATTTCGGGATTTCGGGATAAATCGGGAATCCTGAAATGCTTTTGGGCTTTTGGGCTTTTGGACTAAAATTTGACATATTATGCTTTTAGGCTAAAATTTGACATATTACGCTTTTGGGCCCGAACTGCCAATTTGTTATTTCTACTAATTTGCCCACTGCCCACTGCACAAATTTGACATAGTTTCATAAATTAAGTTTCAATCTACCCACTGCCCATTTGTGCACAAAGTTTCAATAATAACAAAGTTTCAATCTGCCCACTACACATGCATCATGCATGCAATAAAAATAAATTAGGTACCAAACCCAAAAGCAAAAATAATAGTTACAAGCCAAGGTTTTAAAATAAATAAAGTAACAAACTCAAAAGCAAAAATAATAGTTATAAGCCAAGCTGGGTGGTGATTCTGGTGAAGAAAGGCTGGTGGCACAGTGGCTGCGCTTCAAGCTCTTGATGGAACGGAAGTGAAAATTGAAATGGGGGATCTGACCTAAAAACAAATGAACGGCACAGATTAAATATAAAACAATGAACGGTTGAAATAATTCTCTTATAATTAAAAAATAATATATATATATATATAATATTTATTTCGGTTCGGTATGGGAATACCGAAAAAATGGAGATGCAATACCGAATCCCGTACCAAAAATTTCGGGAATTTTGGTTTGGGATCGGGATTTTTTCGGTTTGGTTTGAGATTTTTGGGATTTTTTTCCAGCCCTAAATGGTAGTAGAGAAAGTTACTATCAAATTTGACAGCAGTTTTAAATTTATATTTAGTTAGTAATAAATGCTTTTATAATTTTTATTATTATCTTTTCTTTTAAAAATACTAATTACACTTATGAAAAATAAATAATTGTTTAAATTTACATATCGTGAAGAATAAAATTTATAAAAGATCCATACGCCACATAAGCCTTTAAATTTAAATTTTATGTTTAAAATCATCTCTTTTAGGGATGGTTTTAGGGTTCTACATACCAAAATATTTAAGAGATATTGAAGATTAATTGTTGCGCTAATCATATGGTAAGAAAGGAAATAGTAATTAAAGGAGTGAAATAAAGGATGATGGAGGAGAATATGGCATAACAGATGTTGAAAGTGTTGACAAAGGTAATGGAGTGAATTCAGACCAGTTAACACTACAAATTTCTCCTAATGCTGTAGCTCGTCAAATTTTCTTTTACACTAAGGTGTAAGAGATTTGGGCTAAACCACATAATGAATTTGTTATAATAATTTGGTATAGAACTCGTTATTCATAAAACCTAAAATCTCCTACTTACAAATGAATAAAAAATCACTAAATTGTAGATTACAAAACTCACAAATTGAACCATATGTATATTTATGAATATTCAAAAATATCATGATTAAGGGCGTGTTACTCTTTTTTATTTAGTTGTGGGCTTAACTACTACAGTGGTCTCTAAATTTTACTCCTCTTTTAATTTTAGTCATGAATTCTAATATTAGTTTCTTTAGTCCTCAAAGTTAACAATTTATTGCACCATTAGCCCTTTTCACTAAGATCATCCTTTTTTTGTTAAATCTACGGGTATATTAAGAACTTTAACTTAAAACTTTAAAAAACAATAGAAGAAGCTAAAAAAACAAATAAAAATTTATAAATTAATATCTAAGGGAATTGTTATTAGCACTCCAAAATTATCATTTTACACTCCTAACTTTCCATATTTGGAAAGAAAAATACACTTGTGAGGAGTGTAGAATAAGATTTTTGGAGTGTCAATAACACTTCCTATATCTAAAACTTCAAATCAAATGAAATTTGAACTATAAAAATACAAAATGAAAATGGTTGGAGTTTAGCAACTTGTAAATAATAGGCAATGCTATTTCAAAATTGGTAGGAGATTGAACTGTGGCTGGATTTAAATAACTACCAAATCACATATTGAACTACGAAAAAATTTCCTATGTATTCAATTTCTTACATTCAAAAAAATTGACTATTTTAGGTTTTTTTTCTTTTTCATTTTTCATTTTTAAATTCATTTTTAGTGATGTAGGATGAAGTTCCTAATATACCCCTAACAAAAAAATACTCGGCGTTAGTGAAAAAGACCAATGATACAACATATTATTAAGTTCGAGAGTTAAAGAAACTACTCGAGAAATCAGCGAGTAAAATTAAATTAAGGATAATGTTTAGGGACCATTATCATAATTAAGCCTTAGTTGTATTAATAATTTGTGTCTCTTTGATATCTATTCCTCAATTAAATTTATGAGTTTTTATTTTTTAACGTGGTGCAAATGTTACACATTAGTCCATTTAAAGATCTCATGCTCCCCATATTATCAATTTAAGGAAGTTTCTAAGTTGACATATCTTCTGCCACTTAGTACTATTGTCTAGTGGTGTTCCTCTTCACTTCTAAATAAGAGGTCTAAGGTTTGATTCTCGCTAAAGATGAATTCGAACTATATTATTGCTAGCCCATTGTGAGAATTAACCCACTCCCCCACCCCCTTAGTGTAAATAATATCGTTTGTTCAAAAAAAAAAATGTAGACACCTTTTCTATTATTAAATAGAAAAATCATTGGTCGAACCTGGTAGTATGGGCTTATAATTAACCAAGGTATTGAAGTGATTGGTTGTATAGAAAATAATTAAATGGATGAGAGATTCATTATCACCTCATATTGAGGCCACAATAAGCACGCTCTAAGCCCTTAGGTAAGTAGGGTATAATGCCCTACCTCTAACAGACGAGTAGCAAATCACCTAAAAACGAAAACTTATTGAAATACTAATGAACTAATAGTTTTCACTTATTTAGAAGTTGTGTGTTGCTTCAATTCTACGAGTGTTTTAGCAGGTCAATGATCTCCACAACTGTTTAGATCTTCGATTTTCAATCTCAATCATTCATTCCCATATCATTCAATGTTACGTAATATTAATAAAATTTCTTTAAAAGTAAAAGAATTTGGAGGTATTTGTCAATTTTCCTCTCAAACTTGTAAGGATCTGCCAATTTTTTTCATGAACTTTAATTTTAGCCAATCACCCCTCTTAAATTTTATCACGGGCCAATTGTAACAACCCGTCCCAATTTTGGCAAGTCAAAAGGGTAGAATAGTAATCTCACACTCAAGAGAGTTATTTTTCTTATTTTATCTTTTATGGGATTGGTTGGTGAGCCACGTGGGGTCCACCTTGTTTTTGTGTCTCCCGGTCTCTTGGATCTCTCATCTCTCTCTCTCTCCCCCATGAGACTCTCATCCTCAAAACTCTCTTAGCTTGCTTTCTGTGTCCTTTCTCTCCCTCCTCTCCCTTATCCCTCTTGGACTTCATCACTATCACTCATCACTCTCACCCCTACTACTCACCAACGCGGTAGAGTCGCTGTCCCCGATGAATCTCTGGACGAACCTCGCACTCTCGACTTTGGGTAAAGACCGTATCACCTCGATTCATTTTAGTTTTCAATTTCTTATACGATCTCGAGCTTACATGCGAGTTTGGGTAGGTTCTATATAGAAACCAACATGGTCAAACTATTTCCCAACTTTGCTGGCAAGGTCTGATAGCCTTCAAGCCCTTTTCCGGTGAGATCCGCCCACGGCCAAGGAAACTAAGGGTAAGATTCAAATCCTTATTTCCTTAGCTTTACTTTGGTATTTAAATCACAAAAAAGGTGAGTTTTAGAGGAGAATCGAAACTGGGAAGATTTGCTGACCAAAAGGTTTGGCTTTCTCCTTCATTGGTCCGGCGAACCGCGAATAGAAACCGAGCCAAGCCCAAAACCCCAGCCTCTGGGCCATGGAACCCAGCCCATTTAGGCAGCCTAACCCCATAACCTGTTAACCCAAAACCCAATTTATAACCGGCCCAACCCTTGGGCCTTGTATAATGCATGTTTTAATAATAGAAATGCATACATGAAAAGCATGATTTAATGATTACGTTTTATGAGATATTATGCTTACTGAGAATATTTTGAATTATCATATTTTATCAAATGTTCTTTGTAGTATAGATGATAGATGAATTGACACTATGAAGATGTTTTTGAGATATATATACCTATGTTTGGAAAGTCTATGTTCAATGGTTTTGTGCTTATCTAGTGGTCATTATACCACCATGGGCGAGGATTATGGTTGTTGGATGCGAGCTAGGAGAAATAATCTCTAGCTTCAACCCAAGAGACATGGAGCTGGTATTGGGCTGGGAGAAATAATCTCTAGCTACGGGCGCGGAGACATAGAAGCTAGCATTGGGCCGGGAGATATTATTATTGGATACCACTATTTATCACATTATATATGAGATATGTTTCTAGAAAGATTTTATGGCATGCTAGGGT